AGACAATGTTATTTGTCTAGAATTATTATTTATGCACATATGATCATTTTGATAATGTTAATACTTTATTGTATTGTATATAATTGAAAACAGTAATAGAATGAAAACATCAGATTCATTTTAATTTCGTTAATTATATGGTATAATAGTGATCCATATATTATTATTAAAATAATTAACAACATTGCTGCTGTCTCAGATTTAATTAAAACAAAACAAGAATATGAGACACCAGTGTCATATCATTAGACCCCAACTTTGTAATTTATTCGAATAAAGAAATGTTTATCTCAAGTTTCTGATTAAATGGTATGTCTCTAACATACTCTAGTGTCGAAACAATCATTGAAATTGAAATTTAGGCAAATTTAATCATATCTCAATGAAACGAGAACCTACAGGAATGTCGTAAGGTGGTACTGCGTAAAGGTGTGTTTTACATAGTTGATCAGTAAGCTAGAAAATAGGTATATTCAAACGTAAAAGAGAGTGAACGATAAATAATAAGAAATGTATAAACTAATAAACTGCACTTTCGTTTAGATGATCACTTAGGAATTGATTCTACTCTATGTTGACTGAAAGATTTGATTAAAAGAAGACAAATCTAAAAGCTTTCACAATATAAACAGGAATATTTGAACAACACAAAACATTGTATAAAGTGGATGCCTCTTTCACATATGTACCCACAACAGTAAATACTACATCTATTACATCAACTACAGTCAAGAAACCAACTGTAAAAGTGAAAATACTGAATGAGGGAAAGTTTGCGTACAATATCTAGGAAACACGTCATTAAAGTTATGGTGGGATTGAAAAAAGTATAAACATAAAACCAAATGATAAGCAACTATACTGAACGTCACTGAAACACAAGGTGATAGACCTTGCAAAGCAATTAAGTGAAGCGGTATCGATGGGGTCTGATATTCAGCATAATGGAAAATATATCGGTAAAAATGACTCAACAAATTCTTTAAAAACTGATGTACATTTCATAAATATTTTTGACGTTATTATTAGTGCACGATTAAAAGTGAAAACTAAGACTTTCAGCATTTTCACACTGAATTAATTCTTATGATTCATTAGTACTGCACATTTTCTTAGATAAAATGTAATGATCCTTGAAGCTAAGACTGAGTACTGATAACTTAATGACTATCGGTTCATATATATTCACTTGTAACTGATTTCCAGAAATAGAATATTTAGTGCTAAAAAGCTGTAAACTGTGGTAACGGAATTGTGAATTCTACTATAAATTAAAAACAAATTATTAGACAAGTTTATATCGATTGCGCCTTCACTGATCAATAGATTCCATGAATCAAATAGCACATTTTATCGAAGCAAATTAAAAATGCGCGATTCAAAGTAGTTTTATGAAGTTAAGTCAAGTTTTTCCATATGAACATTATAAAGGAATCGTTTCTATAGGTTTCTCCAATAGGCAGTGAGGCGAAATATTTGCGTACAATTTGAATGAACATACATTACATTGTTAAAATTGGACAACAGTAATGTACAATCGAATATCTTTAAGCGACGTCTCCATAATCTTTTTTACTAACTAAACGTCTGTTTAACTGATATATTTTGAAAAAATTATTTCATCTAGAAATTCTTTCATTTTTACCCCTGAATTTCATAAGCTTTCACATCTAAACGATTTTATAATTTCTATGTATTTAATACTAATGGCTATAGTACCAAGAAAATCTTTTTATTCTATACGCACCAATGCAAAGATACGCGATAAAGTTTAAAGTTGTATAGTAGTATTTTTCTAAACCGCCACAATAAATTTTTCAATATTTAAAACATGACGGTGACCTTGACAGCTAATTAAAACAAGCTAGAGCACAACTGAATAATCAGGAACCATCGCTTTCGTGTGAACTCATATGTATGATATGAAAAAGTATTCTTTTTCATTGTTAATTTTTCACTGTTTATCTGACAAAGTGATTTATATCAGTTGAAGTATTCTGATATTTGGCATAGTTAGTATCATTTTAGTAGTATCTTGCAGTTGGATAATAGGGAAAAAATTCGTTCATTTATCCATACACCAGTAAAATACATCCGTTTAAATTAATTACGAATTTAGTAACCTCTACTTAACTGAAATTTTTTTTTACAAACAATCTACATATGTCTTCAGTTCTTTTTGAGTTTTCTTTATGATTAACTTCGTTGATAATAGAAGAAGAATAAGTGATATATCTCAAAGTAAACAGAAACATTCGAAATGTTTGGGAATATTACTAACTTTTTAACTGTTAATAATAAAAACAATTAACAGAGAGATATTAGGTACTAAAAGTACAAATTAAAATGTAAGGTCGTCTCAAAATATTGATTAACATGACTAAATAATAAAATTTAATTGATTTCCACTTCATTTTTTTGGGGAATTAATGATTACTAAGTTGACAGTTTTCTGATCCCATGAAAGAGTGAACAATTTAAAAACCACGTAAATATTTTTTACATATTTGAACTTTTACTCATATCAGCCAAAAAATTCCTCTTAAAACATGGTAGTCCCTTGAAAAGATCTATGTCACATTGCACATTAGATATTCTTTGATTAGTAAGCAATGATAAATTTCCTAAATCTCAAAGCTGATCAAATCCCCTTGTTTGAAATTGCAGTTTCAAGCTATTCGACTATAGGTCTTTGAAGATCTACTTATATCAAAGAATCTGAGCATACATAGATATTAAAACTTAACAAACTACTTTCTTTTGATCATTTCTTACAGACGAACCTATTAAGTAAGTGTTCAACAAATAATATACACACCCTTCATAAATTAACTGAAAGTGTGTGATGAGCTGAACAGAAAATATGTAGACAAGTGTATCTAAGTGGAAATGATTCTAACCAAATATCGGTATCAATTGATAAGTAATTGTGAACTGTTAAATCATTCGCTATTATCTTAAACTGCGTAAAAAGTGACCACCTACTAAACTGTTATGAAATGTCATTGAAATCACGAACTAATCAAAGTTAGACAACATAGAGGCAATGGACGGCCATTTCACGCACGAACGCTTAAACTCTGGACCGATAAGCTAAGATCCATTCATGTACAAGACTAATTTCTACAATTTATGCTCCACATAAACACTAACTAAATATCAGGTGCACCAATGAAAATGTTAGATTAGGTATTGCATGCCACTAAAGAATTATAATAAAAACTAGTGACTAGGCACACATGCCTTGAAATGGGAAACCTAACAAAATTAAGGATAAAAGTATTGGATTTGTACTACATTTTCCATACTAAGTGAATAAGAGGATATTCAACAGCCTTAATTAATGTCGTCAAAGCCAATACAATTTATCAGGATTTCGATGGAAACGTTTAATAAAGTTTGGTACATGGCTTGTGGTCTCTCTAATCTGTATATAGTCTTTAATGAGACCCAACACCAGTAAGAGCATAACTGAAAACTATAGAGTACTGGATAGTTATTTGATTCCAGCCTGAGACCTTATAGCAGTATGCGTTATTGATCGTATTACAAGATAAAAAACGATCTTCATACGTACTGAGATTGTGAACAATATGAATTTACTCACGTTCGTGGATGCAGAAGATTAAGCAGACTAAAGTGAGGCAACAATAAGACTTTGGTTTAATCAACTAATAAAAAGGACCACAATTTTCGAGAACAATATTAAACACCAGTTGGTGAAACTAATTCTTTTACCTAAAAATCCAAAAAAAATCGGTAATTTATTATTCACTTTTCAGTATTAACACGCCCAAATTAACAAAAGAAAACACTGAATAAAATCATTTCACGTTGTTTGAGCAATGAACAAGCTCATATTTGCTAAATGTCCTCGTTGTATCAGGATGAAAAGCTTACACATATAATAAACCGAAGTATTATATACTATAAGGTAATGTTTAAGAAAACTTCTCTATCCAGTACAGTGGGCATGTTCCGTCGAAAATGTGACACAAGTATAAAAGATAAAATATGTAGATTTATACAAATTTTCTATTGTAAACACAATCATGTGTTTCCGTGATTTAATCCTGTAGGTGTAGCGAAATTTCCACTATAAAATAGAGATGAAAGCTTTAAGGCACATGATTTCAGCAATAGGTAACATCACAAGACGATTAATGCTGCTTTTATCTTATACAATTACACAATGGGCTATCCCAATGAGTCCAAAATAGCATGTGTATTTATTGTACATAAACAAAATAAAATATGAATGCAAATAATCGACAAATTGTATAACCAGTGCTAGAACATTATTTTCATTTGTCGTTCCCGTTTATTGCACTGAGAAACGATTATTATTACTACACTTAAAAATAATATATTTGTCACCAACTGATATTAATAAGAGAACTAATTAAAATCATCAAATACTGAATAGATTTCTTTAACCTAATTCATTCTTTATACAATTGTATGAAGACCTTATTATATCATGAATTGACTAAAATTAGAAATGTGGGACAGTCGATAGATTCAGCTATATCATACCGTGAGACCTGAATTTTTCGGGCTTTATTCCGTATTGAATGGAAGTAACCAATAATAACTAAAGCCAAACACTTGTTGCTGGCTTTTATTCACTCTTCGGATGTAACGAACCTCTAGTGTAAACTATCTTCAGAGTATACAAAATCTCCACAAGTTCATCTAAAGATAACATAGATCCAGTACACCAATAACAAAGTTCCGCAACAACCTGAGCATTCACGCGGACTACGTTGACCGATTCATATAGAGTATGGATATAGGTTTGTGTTAATTTTGTAGAAACACCTTACTTGTTGATAATGCAAAGCTTATATCTAACTACACATCCAAATACCGTTTTAATGGATCGAATATGCTACAAATACCCTGTTCTAGTAACTGGAATTGAGATTCACCACAGCATAAAGGTGAAGATTTACTCCGTCAAATACAAAAACTATTTTTTAAAATGAGAAAACAAGACATATCAGTGATATATATTTACAAAAGTACAATTTAAACAAATATAAATGTGCGTAAAAGAAAGAAAAATAAAACATCAACACTTAACAACACTCGATCACACAAATTCTCTCTCGTAGTCTTATATACGAATTTATATACATCAATATAGGAGATAGCAAACAGTAAAGCTAGCCACAGCCAAGAAAAACAGGCAAGATATAAATGAGCTTACATAAAAAGTGAAAAAAACATCGACAGAGAGAGAGAGAAACACGGATAAACACTTGAATTGGGATATCAGCTGTTAAGTAACAAAAAAATAGTATATATATATATATATATATATATATATATATATATATATATATATATATTGTTGATGGCCAACTGTAAAATCAAAGATACAGTGTCAAAATAAGATAAACATTATTAGTTTTTAGGTGATACACACATATATTTTAAATGAACTCTCTTTTCAAGTGTCATTTTGTTAAGATTTGAAAGAAAAAAGTACAAAACATATTACATTATTATGAAAGAAAAGTGTTTCAATCATAATTTACGATGCATAACAAATACTATTACTTAAGAATTAATCGAATTCTTTTCAGATAACATCATTGATCTACATAGACATAATGTATTGTTAAAATGATACAGGTGAAATTATATTTGATGCTTGTGCACGAACTCGTCGTTCTAACGATTTTTCATCCATGTAATAGAAATTATCTTCTGTTATTTTTGAATGGAAATTAGTGCACAAATTGTAAAAACGTTCTAATAAATTACAACTTTTGATATCTTGAGATATTGATACAGTACCTGACAGATTGTTAGTATTATTATTATTATCATCATTATTACTGATGATATTCTTTGACTTTAGACACAACTTATAATTGTCATTATGAGATTGAGGTAGATTCAAGGAAACTGTAGAAGTATCACCAACCTTATTAGATTTTAAACGTGCATAAACATTCGTCAAACCAAGTTTATGGTGACATTTACCATGGTGATGATGGTTGACATGATGAATATATGCTGACTTTAACTTTGAATGTCCATCTAGGAAGTGATAATTTTGGGAAAAATTAAGAGAAAATACATATAGCATATAATTAACACTTATGCTTAGAAAAAAATAATTGGTGAAAAAATCTTTGAAAATGTATACAAATGATATATTTATTGGATTGTTTTACTCATACCAAGGTGATTAGACTATCTTTTCTCTTTGAAACAAGTGAGAAAAAACATAATAATAAGGAAATTATAAAGAATGGGATGGCAGAAGTAAATGATTAGAAAATTAGAGTATTCAAATAAACAATGATAGAATGACCAGTAATATAATAAAATTCACTAATATTTACTTTCATAGTATGAAATTTAGATGTAGACTCCATGATTTACATCAGTACTTCAATGAACTCCTTAGTTCTTTAACTATGTATCTACAAAGTAATCACTAAGTTATTATGAATTTTTCTGAAAAGAAACTTTCTACGTTTGTCTCTATTGGATAAATTTTCCGAGACAAATGATGATTTAAATTGTGTTTATAGATTAAGTTGAATATACTGATCGCATAAATTAGTTATTAAAATTATGTGATTTACTATCTATTAGGTAAATTGTTTCATGATTCGTCTCATCCATACATAATTAAACATAAGTTCATTATCGTTTATCTGCTAAAAGTAACAACAAAATTGATTTATGACCTATTTGGAATTTGTCGATAGTTTATCAGAAGAATATAATGTTAAGAATTTGTTATTAATAGTGAAGATCAAGAAATTACTTTTTAATTGGTAATATGCTTATGGTACTACCATTTTATACTGCTTAGTTCTTTATCCAACACTACTTCTTTTATTGCAATTGCGTCTTCTGAGGTCAGACAACGCAATTCCAACAAAATCATCCTTCTGAGCTACAAATCTTCTCCACCATATCAACATTGCTTCTATATGACAGGCTTTCACCAACAGGAAATTGATGAAAGCCTGTGATTATTATTTCTTGTTTACTAGAGAGTATAGAACAGCCCAAAGTTGTTTGTTACAACAATGGTAGAATTAGTAGGATGAAATTGTGTGAAAGTATCAGCGATGGTAAGAAGACCTTCTTAAGTTACGAATACACTGTCCCGATCATTTGTCCTCCTAAAAAGAGAGAAAATAAAAACCAAACTGCTAATAAACACTGACTAATCCTTATACTCATTATATACTGCAAAAATAGATAAGAATTATACTATAATACTTAAAACACTACCTATAAAAGACCAGTAAGAGATTCAGCGACATAAGAAGAAATATAATAACGCTTAAATAACTCATTTTCAGCACTGATACTAATCAACAGTGAGCACTGAATACGACAAAAAATATAATGTCAATTTATAAAGGTTAATAAACGAAACCATTTTGAACGCATTAAGTTATTTTAAGGCCGTAAGAATACTAGCTACGAGACTTGTATTTCAACCACTGAAATTAAAATTCACACAATCTCCTCCACTAGATAGAATCATTCATTAATGAACATGCGAAAGATATAGCCCATAGCCGAGTAGATATTAACCCATAATTGGTTATTGAATTAAATTAACCAACTATTATATTGATACGGCTGTTTTCCATAGGTTCAACGTAAATATATAAGATATTCTTGAGAGTAATATTAAGAACGTTGCTTCACAGATATTGATAATCAGATAACTAAAATTCCTAAAGCTCGTTACAAATTTAATGAAGATTCTATACAATTACTGATAAAACAAGAGCACACTAGAATGTAAAATCTTAAGTTGAAATTCTATAAATTAACCATGACGTTAATGATCATGATAAGGTTAGTTTAAAAAAAACTATTACAAATTAATAAATATTCCATAATAGTCGATCGAAATTTTAAGAAAGACAATATTAAAATGTATGTGGAAATACATTTACCTGAAAGTAAAGAGATTTGACTAGATTGATGCTGATTATATTTTACAGTTGGCCAATGATTATTTATCATATGAGACTTCTTCAATTTTTTAGCTGCTTCAACAAGATAATTATCTGAGTAATAACCATTTGAAACATCATCTAATATACTTGAAGATTCAGTACAACTTGAATAGTTTACATCTGTATTATATGCACGTCCATCAGTATGATGACATTTTAAGTGATAAATTTTAAAATTCTCATTTAATGAAGATAATCTTGTTAAATTCGATGACTTGATTTCATTAGTTGTTGTATTCATACTAATAAAATGTCTAGTAGGCATAACCATAGAAGCTAATGAATGTAATACAGTTTGTAAGCATCCAGGTAGACCAATCAAATTTGGATATATATTGTTATGAAATTCAAGTTGTTCATCATCTGAATTTAAATTATTTTCTGTTGTTTCTGTAGATGAGCAAAAAGAGACCTGATAATTAAAAAAAGCATTGAAAAACATAATAATACTGAATAAACTCTGACAACAATCACTAGTTTGTTAAAAGTAAGTAGAAACTTTAAATTTAAACTTTTCAAACATTTACTGTAAATTCGGTTATTAATTGAGAAAAGATTATAAATCAAAGTCAAGTGGAGTGAATATTTTGTTCTTACTGTGTTACAAAAGATGTAAGGCGTAAAATACGAGAGTTAATATGCACGACCTGTAAGAGATTAGTCGGAGAGTTTTCTGTACATATTCACGGTTTAACTGCACATTCCAAGTGATTTCGTGTCATTCTTCCAGTTTAGTATCATCCAATCACGAATTAATCCTACAATAATACTGGTTATCGAACTGTAACTAACACTGAAAAATTGAAAGTTAATCGGAAGACAAAAAATAAAAGCACTTTCGCATGATCACTTCTACGATAAAAATATATAACCTACATTAACAAGTTTAGTGTACTTCATCAAACAAACGATTGATTTGATTAAAATGATCAGTATAATAGGTGACTGAACATTATACACAGTATATCAAGAAATCAATCAAATGTAACAAAAGTGAATTGTAAAGTTGCAACTACAAGAATCCTCTAAAATCCACTACAAATGGTTATTGAAAGCAGGTGATAAAAACAAAAGAATCATGAGAAATAATTATAAATATTATGAATTAGATATAAAATCAAGGTTGTAAATGTCAATCATACATAAACATAAAAATCTCTTAATATATTGTTATTGAAGTACAGTAAAGGTTTAGATTGTCGATCAATAAACGGAATTAATAAATGGTAGCAGACATGAAACTTAGTTTCACAATATTTTAGCAACTTCCACAAACTAACCTATACCAATTAAAACATACTACAATACTGAGACATATTTTGACACTTTCAAAGAATTTCTTGGTAGAAGAAATCCAATCTATTCCGAAGAATTAAATGTTACATAAGCTACCGTTTACTGATCAATTTGTGTGAATATATGATCTCACCCTATAAATATAACCTTGATCATAAATTATGTTAAAGTTTTGGTTATATAAACAACATTACTAGCTATCGTCCTTTACAGCGATAAAACAAATAAATTCGAAATGATAAAGGGAACTATGTGTATGAGAATTCAATTACCTTGGATAGATATAATTTGATCAAAGTTGAGGATAAGGGTGATGAAGGAAATAGATATTCCTTATCTTTTAAGGAGGGTGAGTTTGTAGAACCTAGTGAATTATTATGCATTTTAGATAATTGTATAGCATCAAGTTGGGCATTGGCGGAATTTGATTCAGTAAATGATACACCGAAAATAAACGGATCCAAAGCAGGTTGAGAATTCGAATTTGGTTTCAATGAATCAATCATTTCAGTGGATTCGCAGGCATTTTTAAAATGAGAATTAGAGTCTTTCAATGTAAGATAAGGCAGTTCATGAGATGAATTTTGGTAATCTTCCAAAAGCGTGAAAGAAGGACGACGTACCATGCTACCGACGAATAATTTTGACGAATCAATATCATGATTTTCACTTACATTTATACGATTGATTCTGCGGCACTAAGTGTGAAAAAAGCATTAGAACAAGCTAAACAGACAAATAATCTTATAAAAGTTTAAAATATAAATGGCAGTCGCCTTCCTACTAAGTAGTTATTCAATCAAATCGTTAAAGTAATATACCTACTGTCATATATGTACCTACTGATCCATCTTCTAGTCAAAGAGCAACTGTACTGTGTAGTGCTTGATTCTGTGACATTTTATGACAATGGTATATGAAAGTAAATATGTGTAAGTCCGAATAATTTGATTTCGTATAGTGTAACCACGTTAGCTAAGCTTAGTCATAGTCTACTAGACTGAATCTGTAAATTGATTAATGACATTGTGAAGCTTAGTGACTGTGTTTAGAATATGGATCATGTAAGCCTAGCCACCACTATGCGTAATAGTACAGGTTTGTTTACTTGGCTATAAGTCACACTCAAGGTGTTATAGCTAGTTATAATACGAAGATGAAAAAACTGAGATAGGTTGAGCAGATTTCAAACAAAAAACTAAGTGTTTGAAAAAAAAATACTTTAAACATCAGCCTCCAAATGCCCTGGTAAGGTTGAGGGTGGTAAGATTCAGCTCTCGCTCTCGAACAGCTCTCACATGGCCATGCGTATACAGACACTGCCAAGAGAGCCTTATTCACTGCCTTCTCGCGGTGCGGGTGTTGTTTACGAAATTGAGAGGATGAAAAGAGAATGTCCGGCGCTTTAACCAGGCTGGTGGATATGGATATAATCACTAATATATAATTAAGGTCTGAGAATTCTATAGAGCCAGTTGAAATAAAACAAATAGTTGCCTTTGGATGACTTATTAAACAGAGAAAAACCACAGGATTGTGACATAAAAATGTAGACCGGAGTTAGCAATATTGAGGTTCACTCATGCAATCGTAATGACGAAATATGGTTACAATGATACACGTCATACAATCAATAAAACCATGTTACCAAAGTTACTGAAAAGAGCACTAGCAAACGCACATCACGTTTAAATATTTAATGTCTTACTTCTGTGATATCAGCAAATGAGAGAGTACGCCTTCGACAAACACTTTGATGCTTTGGCATGAGTTAAGTCTGTAAATTGACCTGGGAAAAGAAAAATATTTTGATTCGATTGTGCTTAGAACGTTTGCTATCTACAACAAGCAATTAAATCCACCTTCCTACATCCCTATACATCAATTCTTTCAAATTTCTTTGATTTTATTTAACTGTGAATTGTTTTACAAAATGCATCATCATTGTCTGCTAGATAATGTTGTGGATAAAACTTTATTCTCTACAGTTATACTAAGGTAACTAAATAACTTACACATTAGTGTTTTGTAGTCAGCTTATTCTGAAGATTCTATAGTTGCCTAGGTAACTGAAAGACCTTAAAAATTAACACTAGACCTAAAATTTCACTACTGAGCTACGTCTGAATTTTTCGATATAGCAGAAACTTTTGGCTGATGCCAAGATCAAACAATACGCATGATAATTTCCTGCGTACTTAGTTTTTTTTATCCAGTAAATTAGGTGGTAAATAAACTTATTCTTCACAAAATTGCCTGATCTGTCGGCACGTCTGAAACCGGTTTTTTTATTAAATGACTTTACCATACAGTTTATATTTCACATGTGATTATTAGTGACAAGGTAACATAGTTAATCAAAAACAATACGTTAGAAAACGTATCAAATAGAAAACCTTATAAAAGATTTGTTGAGATCAGACTACCATGATAAGTAAACATATGGGATACCGATTCTTATTGCATAATAACGATAATCAGAAGTAAACTAGCTACCATAATTAAATGAAAATAGTGTGATGATGGTAAAGCAAGATTACTTTAAACAATATACTGATCTCAGTTACTACTGAAATGTCCCTACATCCAATAACTTAAAGTGACGATTTTAAACTAATTTGCAAGGGATAGTTAAAAATATAGGGCGACAATTTTCATGAACTATGTGCCATTATCAAATACAAAGTGTATCCTATTATATAGTAGCTGCAATAGTGCGAACTTTAATTATCCGCATGCACTGTAAAGGAATGTTATAGAAAAGTAAATAATCATTAGTTCCAGAACTATTTTCAGCACAAAAGACTGAAATAACGAATAAAATCATTGTCATTGAAGAGTAACGATAATTCAGTAATAATGCTCTTTTCAACGATTTCATTTGGTTAAGTAGAACAACTGTATTGATACCACTGTCTATTGTATACACACACTTTCAAATTGAATCTGGAGATGATTTACAATTTAAAATCTCAAATTCCTACGAACTATTAAGAAATAACTCATTTAATTACTATCTCAATGATTCCATCATATACATTAGCTACATTGAGTGATTATGCACGCAGATGACATTATAGAACAAAATAATAATATATACAGTATATCAGGATTTAATGCAGTATATTGTTATGAAAAAATATCCCAGTCATTCACCTCATATAAAAAAACGAATTCATGATCGAGGCTAATAGATAGGGACACATATTTCATGAGAAACGTACATAGCCAGCTGAAAAACCTGGTATTTTTCCCACGTCAAATTGGTTAACAGATAGTTACAACAAATGCTATATTCCAGGAACACGTCACTTTGAGTCTTCCACACCCAATCATATCCGGGACTAGAAGTTCGCTATCATATTTGGAAAGGGCCAAGTAGCTTATAAATCTCTGTAAACTGGATTCCCTTTTTAGGTCTCTCTTTTAAGTATATCATTAGTTAAGGATCAAGAAACAGATGACAGGTTGAAGTTTCTGCATCAACGGGTGTGTTATATTGTTTTTCAGAGTCCCCGAGGCGTTTCAGACGGATGTCGAATGGAGTCTCATCAACACTACATACTATTTCATTAACACACTGCTTATTTTTAGCGGCTAGAATAAGTATAAATGGTGCATAACAGTTACCATCTGCAATCGATGTTTTAAACATGTTAAATATAGTGTCCACTAGTTTTCACTGTCTTAAATTGAGCTTCGAGAAAATTTTCACATGCGTACTGGTACTCGTGACCAACTAGAAAAGATCAACGAACGTCAAGACGTAATAAGCTATGAAAAAACCTTCTGCTTATAACGGAACTGCCTCGTAATTTCGTAAGTGAATTTATTTCATATCCTCATGTCATTCCTTTTTTTAAAACTTATCACTGATCTATGCTTCTCAGGAGATCAATAATTCATGCTAAAACCATCCGTTCGTCATAGGGCTGAAACGGTGACCAAAACCGATTCACTTACAGTAACTTGTTTGGGACAACAAAACTGTTCACCTCTGAAACGTTACAAAAAGGGCAGTAGTTATATGCACATCTGTGCCATCAGTAAGTGATTATAGTATAAACAAAGTCGATTCTTGGTTATTATAAAAAAATCAAATGACATATCAACGATAGACAGTGATACCTCTCAATGAATTATGACCTGAGAACTATTATACATCGTGTTTAATAACTACGAATGTCCTATCTTCATACGTCACGTTTTTTAGCCATGCAGTAAGACAGTCGTATTGTTATCTATTCATAGACACATCCACGTTGCCACAGCTACTTAGGAAAAGTTAGAGGAGCTTTCTGTGCAGTTACTAAGACATCGTAGACAAAGAACCCACAGGAAGAGGAATGACCAATGTACTCCCTTAGTCCTTTACCATGATCTGAAGAGGCGTTGATCCAGATCAGAGCTAATCAATACTTGGACCTATAGAGAGGAGAAGCATATCTCAAACATGAACAAGTTACTAAAGGTCTCCGGAAGAGTGGGTCTCGTCAGCACTCTTACTAAATAAAAAAATTTCATTTGCAATACTAAATTCCATAAGCATATTGCCAGTGACGTCAATCGCTGACGTCGTGTGATGGAAGAATCATCTCAAAGGATTTGTGACAAAGTGGATCAAAATCAGATTTGATCCCAGAACAATATCTGAGATTTTCAATTCGTATAACAGTTTGCCGTAACCTGTAATTTAAATAAGTGTTGAAAGACGAACTTTCAGGTCTATGTATAATTACAGTACGCTTTCCAGTGATAGGCAATCATAAATCATGTAGATCGCTGGATAATAAAACGACCGTACTGTCAAAAGAACACAATCATCAATTGGATTCGGTAGGTAATTCTATGTTAGAAAAGCCAACGAACTGAATATTTTTGAGAAATGTGGAAACCGACGGAAGATGAAATTCTACGAAAAAATTATATTAATGCCTATAGGAGAAACACTTGAGTACAAAAGCTTATTCATACTCACAAAAGTATGTATTAAAATGAAGGAGTTATAACTTACGGCTACGAGAAGCAATAGCGATAACATAAGAAACCAAAACTAAAGAAGCCGCTGAGGTCATATTGGTTTTCAATATTCAATTTCATCATTAACTCTGTCGTTCTTGTGTTATAGGAGATCTAGTAATATTTTTGATGCTATTTAGAATGAAATATTCTTGAAAACGGCAATAGTTGTGACAAGTAGGACTGGTAATTAGACGTTGGGCGGAGAAAAGTAGTTATGGATATACAATATTGTTGTAACCAGCTTTTGTCGATTACTTTTGATAATCATATCAAATTTTGGAAGATTTGTTGAAAGTTCCGAATCAAAATATGTGCATAAACCAGCCTTTAAATATAAATAAATATCCTCCAGATGATTGAGCTGAACTTTAAAAAAATATATTTCATTTGCTCAGTATATCAAGAAGTGTGCTCCCTTGAATTCAATGAAGCACCTCTCTGATACGCATGACAGAAATACGTGAATCAATGATAGAACTGAAGTTGAATTTACACAAATAACTAATTGGTTCGTTAGTGAAATTAAATATAAAATAATTACATTATATATTCCATATTCAGGTAATAAAGTTAACCGATATGGACAGTATTATTAAACAGAATAAGAATATGAGGAGGCTGAGTGAAGACAGCTGGATCGAAATGGTATTAGCATTGAATTAATACCGGCATCAGACCTCCTCGCCATGGAGCTCAATTAATATTGACACTGATATTAGAACCGCCAACAATTCTATTGAAAAAACAAATACAGAAACTGCAACAGATTTGTTACATTTGTACTATATTGAAACGAATACAGACTGCCAAGGCGTCGATCAGATAACACGTTACAAATATTTATAGATCGATTTAACAATTAAGTTTGTTGACAGACAACAGGCGACTAAACAAAGACATACTAAAAGTTTTTCCATTTATCGGGTGCTAATAAATTATGCAGCTGAGTTGAAATTAACCGACAGATATGGAGTGATTTGTTTGGCGATCACATGGTTCCTCAGATCTTGTATTCCAATATGGGTATCTAGTCATGTAGATTTAACACATCAGCATTGGATACGTGTTTATGCACCTATCATCACATTAGGATAGAATTCGGTCAATACCTGGTGTATCCTAGTCAGTGAATTTACTGTGACAATCTAATCCAGTGATATACGTATTCATATTACCTTGAAAAGTCTTTAGAAGGCATTTGGACAATATCATTTTTCAGATTCCATGTGTTCACGCTAACTTTTGAGGAAATAAGCAGCTGGGTAATATTTATCAACTTTAATTCCTGATGAGTGATATTCTAGACTATTTGGCAATATAAGATTTACTCCGGGAACATTTCGACTTTCTATTTAGGTGAACACAGTGATTCAGTTACTGGGGCCACGAGTTCCTTCTAATGAGTGGAAGTTGTTAACAAGACGATAGATGATTCCTTAGACAAACCACGCTTTTTATTTTCTAAATGTAGCAGACATAATTTGATGTTTGTAATTATTGGCAAACGTCCATCTTCAACATTTTGAAGTAATGTTTTCAGTTAGAAAGTTGAATTGCGATTAAACGATAGATTACAAAATGGTTATATCGCTACTTATTCAACAAATGATGTGACAGTTCGTCCTTCATGGCTTTCTCATAGACACTGATCCTATTGGTCTTAATTTTAAACCTCACAATATAGAGTCGTTTTAGATCCTGATGCATTGAAATTTCTTAATTTCAAACGACTCTCCGAGTAAAACCTTCCTAATTCAAATAGACGGCTACAAATTGCAGGAATACATGTGACTCACTAACTTTGGACAACAATGAGTGTATTTTTACTTATATTCTTAACAAAGGATACTTTATTATATTTGTCACCAGAATTCGGAATTAAACCTGACGAGCCGAAATTCATTCTACAATTTTCCTACCTCCTTTGTAAGCTTTTGAGCCTGGAACATACTACTTTGAGTATTAGCAATGAAGCAAATACTTACGGAAGGGAGATGTCAGTAGATAAAAGCGTTGTCTTTTGTACAAAAACAATTCCGTTAATAATTCAATAGATCTAGACAAACGAAAATAGGATGGAGTGTCCATCGTCGTAAAGACGTCTGCTAAAAAATATGATTTTAAATTGTGAATTGTGCGAATCTCCCCAACACGTACTCCTGTAGCCACGACTGGACCACAACTCAGGTTGGAGTCGATGGAGTGTACAATTTTTATTATAATGACTAAACTCTGAGGATCTCATTTCTTCACTTCATTATTTATAACAGATCGAACTGCAAAAATTATTTGACATGAATCCTAGCTGATTAGCAAATGGAAATAATCAGTTGTACTATCATGTTTTAAAATCGTGCAAGGAATATGAATATGCGAGTAGTAATCACTCAATGAAAAGGGAAAAAATAAGTGGCTTTCGCTGTATAATAGGTAGTTATATCAATGCATTACAAAATAATAACAATTAGTATGAAACGAATGTCACTCGACAGTATGTCCTCCTCCGGAAACACTACAAACTGAGTTCACTCAGAGCGGTCAATGTACCTCTGACTGTTTAGCGTGGCGGAGTGAATGAAAACAAAAAGAAAGCAGTTATAGTTAGACACAGGGAGTACCTTGAATTACCTTATAGTCAATGAGGACCATGTTATGCTGTGAAAAGATTTATAACGAAAGTTAGTAGACTGAATAATGGACCTCTATTTATGAATTTTCAGGGTTTCAATAAAGAACTGATATCGCATGCAATTGAAAAATACTTTGCAGCCATCTTGATGAACATATTTTACGCTGAATACTTACTAGTTCGTCCATATACCTTTTCTTCTATCATAAATTCCAGTGTTTCGAGAAAAATAGGACTAATAATCCCACGGAATGAATCAAGACTTAAAATATTCGCAACACTGTTATATTGTACGGTCAAGTGTACAATCGATAAAACATAAGAAGAATACTTCAGAAGTATGAGAATATTTAGCTTGCGGCAACTAAACGAAAGTACATAGCTGAATAATAAACGGTGCTCATGCGCAGTTAATGCACTTGAGCACCAAATGATGTCACAGAAGCTGAAGGAAATATGGTATTTGATTACGATTTACAAATTTATTAAATTCCCTGTACATCATAAATCTCAAGAAAAACTCGCTTTAAGAGAAATTACTCTACAAATTGGACATTTATCTATGAGAAATGTGCAAAGAGCTAGGGTCTATGTTGTCCATATTCTAAGCCTAATAGCTTCATCTTACTTTACAGAAAGAATTGTTGATCACAACACCTGCCTGCTTTTTCAAATTAGTATCTTAATTTGGTAAATGATTATTGTATTTGTATGAACTGATGATTCTTATGTATTGGTTGCCCACCGATTACGAATTCCAAATATAACACGTTCATTTGTGCTCATCTAGCTCTACCTGCTTCAACGTGCACTATTTCGAAAATCCTTATCTATTAATTTGATTCAAATGATTCTAATTATCATAATAACTCTTCTGAAAAACTGTAGTAACTGATCACAACACCCATCTGAACTAAATTTAACTTTTGGGCAGTTTTAAATAAAACAGCATGTGATTGTTCTGTCATTCTTATCTACCAACTAGTACTTTTCTCGAGTAATTATAGTTTTCATTCATTATTTGTGTGTGGATAAGCATATATGGAATAAAACTATTCAATTAATATATTATACTTTAACTCTTGGTATACTGTTATATTAGGGTGTTAGTTCATAAAAATATGTATGAAAATCAGCATGGGTTGTATAATTATATTTGGTGGGACTAAAATTTATGGACGACCTTTGGGTGACACTAGACTGACCTTGAGAGTGTCCACTTGATAAGCAGGGCCAAATGAGGGTTATAAACTCGCATGCGGAGTTGGGATTATGATTCACAGTTTATGGTTAGAGTTAAGAATTAGATTAAGGGTTTTCATCACGAACTGACATCAGCTATGATGCCAAAACTCTATTTATCCGAATGAATGAGTGCATTTTGCGCCAAAATGCCGGACCTGTTATCTCAGACGTGATTGGTTCGTCCATAATTTATAGTTTCGCCGTATATTTTATCATCATAATTCATTATCAGTTGAAGTGAAATAAAGGTTACATATTGTTTTCACTCTCAGCCTCTATATACACTCAAACGTATGAATAAAAAGTACGCATTTGGTTAGCGCTTGTAACGCGTCTTAATATAAGCGAATGACTAATAAGCAACTCAACATGCGAAATGAGGTCGCATCAATTGATCCAAGTATAAAAAGAATTAGAATGGCAGATAATGTTTGATGGTATATTCCCTAGTTGTGTTCGTTATGAAAATCCCATACCAGATCACAGTGATATGCCGAGCAAAGAAAAACGTGAAGTCATCTTCGTATTAATTGATCAATACCAGGATCGTCAACATTGTCTTATATATATATAAGCAATTCTTTACATTACTTGTAAAATGTTTTGATTTTAAAATTTTACAGATTGACATCGAAGTCTAGAAGAGAATAATGGGAATCTTTAAAAAAAGGTATAAATCTGATTTATTCACTTAGAATTAGCTTTCCAAATTATGTACATAAATAAAGATAATCATCATCTCCTCATAGATTAATAGTGATAATAACGATAACAGTAACTGTGGGCAGTTTAAATGCAAAAGTAGTTTTATTGGAAAATCTCTTTGCGTACAATTTTCATTTATGTATTTAATATAGCGTTTTACAATCCACTCTCAACCAAATCCTACTTTCTTTTTTTTCCTCTAACCTTTTTCTTCTTTGGACCGGATGCTAATTTACGTACCATATCAAATGTGTCTTGATTAATACGGTGACCTAAACGTACACCGATTTGTGGTAATTTAGCATCTTTACGACACAGTATCCCTTCTAAAATTTGTCTAGCAGCAAGATCACCAATATCATTAGCAAACAAATCAACTTCTTGCAAATCCTTACTATGTGAAATGATACTGAAAAAAAGGAATGATAAATAATTACGAGTAACAATTTGGATGTAATCTGTTTCTTATAATATATTGATATATTTATAGAGTACAAATGAACAATCATTTATTCAACATTGATCAATCTCTGAACACTGAATTGTGTACTCTTCCTTTCATGATCATATTCTCCAATTGTGTACAAAGAAGTGAATCAGTCAGTAAGACATATTTTTAAATCTTTTCTCAAACTAGCGAATTTGAGGAAAAACCCTTGTGATTACGTCAGGTTCTTTGTAAAGGTCTCGTACACTGCAAAGATAATGTTATCGTGAAATACAGTCACGACGACAACCATTAAAATCCAAGAAAACTGAACATTTGTGTCACCATATGTTTGAACACATATAAGTGTGCGCTAACAGTCAAACACAGTGTGGCCTGAGTTTATAATGATCACAACATTATAGAACTTTCCAGTCAAATCCAACAGTTCACATTTTCTTTGTCGCTCAATCTTTCGACAATCATCAAATACCATCGGTGTGAATGTGCAGCATAACAGGACGCTTTGCTTTACTTAGTGGCAATAAAATCTTCCATTTGAAAACAAAGGTAGGTTACTAGAATTTGGTCCTAGATATCTTAAAAGCATTTTCAATATATAGTGAAATAATCAATAATCGTTTTCAATGTACGATATTAATTCAATATGGTAAATCCGTTAGTGAGGTCACAAGCATTAAACAACTTAGGCACGTGGAACATTTATTTCGTGTGCTTGCTTCCCGCCTCCACCGTGAGACATGGGCATGTTTTGGAAGAAATTTAAACGTGACGTCAGTACAATGAATCATTGACTGTTTATCTAACTCATTCTGACAGATACAAACTATCTGTCTAGAGTTAATGAAATAACGGTGATTATTGGTAAGAGACGCTGTGTCAAATGTTTAAAGATCTGTCTCTTGTGATGCATAAAAAATTATTCTAAATCGTCTCCTAGATCTTGAGTTCCAATATTATTACATAATTTCTATTCTAGCAATCTCTTTATACGAACCGAATTCCCCATAGTTAGTATTTAATACAATACTTCATATTACTATCTTCTTGTTTTTCATTTTGTTAACCCAATTTTGTTATTCTGGTGCCTCACTTCAACTTGGGTCAATGAATATTTACAATAAATCTTACCCTGATCGTGACTAAATGACTAGATAAGGAATCAAAATGACTTTTTAAACAATCTTAGGTACTAATCGAATCTACTAGCATAGATAAACATAAAAAGCAGAAGCATATATGACTTCATAACGCGTATCTCAACATAAAAGGACCTTATTGTACCTGGAAATACTAGAAGACTGTCATCAACCACTTAATTTTTAATAACTTCCTATCTTAATAAAATACAACGTTGTGTAGGTTATGAATATGTAACAAATGAGTGTTGCATATGATTATTAATAACTCATTAGCACTCTAATGATACAAAACGACAAACAGAAAAATCCAAATATGAAATCATCAGTGTAATATTGTATTATCCGATAAATAAAGTTAAAACAAATAGTAATAACAACTATTGGAATTAAGACGAAAATATTACAACTGATAATGCACCCATTAATTCCTACCATGAACAGTATATAGAAATGTTGGTTACTCAATTACAGTCATCAAAATGGTAATAATCAGTGGGTGGAGACGTTTTGGTAACATGCCTCAGGGTTGGCCGTTTTTTAATTCGCTGTTAAGGCATTTATGCTGAATTTTAATTTCTCGGACATTGTAAAATATGACCATCTGACAGTCAATTAATTCGATATATAACGATGCACTGATGTGTACCAACTGGCTGACTTATGAATTTCACAAGATTGCTGTTTTAATCAATTTTTTTAGGTTCCAAGTACATTTATTAACATTTAAATATCATTTTACCTTTTTAATAATTGCATACATCTAACTGTATTAAAATTTCCTTCTTGACCATAATGATTAATTTCATTATCGGCTAATTTCAAAACTGCTATTTGTGGACCAGAAGGAGGAAATAATGGCTTGCTTTTATTCTTTCTACCACGTTTTCGTCCTTCATTAAAAAGAATAATTTGAATCTAGAAATTATTAACATATTAATGCATTCATTTATTTAATAAGATTTTAATAATGATTATTCCGTCAAAATATTTACGAAACCATAGCTTGAAAATTACTATAGTAATAATTTCTTGTTAATCTACTTTGAATTTATCATTTCTTCACAAAGCTGATGAGTCCTGTACTTGATTACAGCAGAATATGATCTAGAAATAAGGGCACTTGAACGTATAGAATACCACAATCGCAGATCAGAAAACATAAGGAGCAAGGGAAGTGATTATTGGGTAGTAATCAAAATTATATCATAAAAACATGAGTAACTATAATTATTAGTACTGGATATATCGTCATTACAATTTAGCCAATCTACAAGGTGACAAGTTATGTTATCGTTCAACTGTATCAAGCCACGTTGATATTCTAAAAGGCACTACTAGGTTTTGATTGAATGGAATCTCTTTAGTTCCTTCAGAGCCTCTATAGGATTCTTCGTGCCTTTCAAAACCGTCCCAACTCAGACAACTGGAAATGTTTCTTTTCCGTTTGAAGGAAATTAAGCTATTACATCTCACTTATTTTTCCACAAATAATTTACTAGTATGATACATTCATTATAATTTTAGGCTGCCATTCGCTTCATTTTAATTAACTGTTTAAATTTAAGCTTATTAGATAATGAAAAATATTGTTTTTAAAATACTATTATACGATAATTTGTGTTCCATTGATTGTAGTATCATTAAGGCATTTTTTAAATTCATATGTTTGTCAAAGCCAATCATCTTGTACTTCTGGGGAATAGAAATATGTATAAAAGAAACCTCGTAAATGTTTATGAAAATCGTCTGATCATGATATGTTTTTTCATCATTTTGTTTGAAAAGAAATTGGAAGACCGACTCAAACAACCTCATCTAATTACTTCATCTAGTAACTTATCATTACTGACCCTTGAGATAATAAAATTCTATTACTGACTTATTATTTATTGACAGTTATTTGAACAACAACCAATTCCGATTAGAAAATATGACTAAACACTGATAAGTTATCAAATAAATTAGTGTATTGATGAAAGATCTAATATAACAATGTTTGTCAAATAGCATTCATAGTAGTTATAACATGATACTGAGCTCAAAAAAAACATCACAAAAACATGACAGAATTCCTCCTCTATGAGAAATATTCAAAGTCTAACGACTGCATTTTATGTTAACATGTGATTACTCAAATTCAATAATTTAACCATTAGATAGATCCTATTATGCAGTTTAATATGAGTAATTTAAAATCAGTAATTCAGCTATTTTACTGAGCTTATCTTGAACACCAAACCTTCAGACTTATCACAATGTACTTTTACGAATATATAATCATTTCATGCATTATTCTCTCTAAATTATGAAATTAATTTCAGAATCAGACACACTAAAAACTGAAAAAACAACATTATTCATACTCAGTGAAATTCAACTGGACATATAAATAGCTATTTAACAAATCTAAGTGGAATATATGAAAAGTAAATACATATCAATCCAAAAACACACAATTCATTGGCTATCGAAGCAAGAAACCATAATGTAAATACTTAATAAAGTTTACACATTATATATATGAAGCCATACATGACTCTGACTGATTATCATATATTAGACAATATTATGTTTCCCTAGGCCCCCAAATGCCCTGGTATGGCCGAGAGCGGGGTGGGCCCGTCCTCCCTCTCGAAATACTCTCACACGGCCACGCGTATACAGCTTCTGCCAGGGAAGTCCTACTCATTGCCTTCTCGTGGCGGGGGTGTTGGTTATGAAAATGAGAGGACGAAAAGCGAATGTCCGACGCTTTAACCGGATTCCAAACCAATGGTGCACATGGGCTCCAGTATCCTGCGGGAACAAATGGCGTATGAACCAATCGTTGGTCACCGGCTACCATGAGACGGCATCTTTTCACGATGCTCCACTGCCTTGTGGATCAGACCTTCAGGTCGAAGGCTCGGGGTGTGGCCCCCTAAGATAACCACCTGCTTCGGTCTGGGCATCCGAGCAGTATCACATCCCGCACACAAATATGATGAACTGTCGATAATTATGGAAAATACTTTTTTTGCTTCAACTATTAATCAAACTATTCACAATATTATTATTATTATTGTTGTTATTATTATTTACTACGTCATTTATTCACTCTCTTTTATTCCTACTCTGTCTATCCTTATTTTTCGACTTATACAGCAGCTCGTCTATGGTGGAAATTCGGTTCTCTCTAAACGTTCTCGAGTAGAGACGTTATCAGATATGGCTCAGAATAGAAGCCAGTGGCGATCCTGCTGTAACCTTTTACCTTCTTCATAAAAAGTGGTTGCTTCTTCCTTAACTGAAAGATCTCTTCTGAGTGTACGTTTCTGTTTCCCCCATTATTATTATTACACTACCTTACACTAATCTGTTCGTTATCGTTTTTTTTACGCTCCTTACCTTTTTTTTCCTTCTATGCAAATTCTCATTGTTTTGTGTGGCGTATATATATATGGTGCCCTCCTGTACCAATATTTATGTGTTTAAATAAATAAATAAATAAATGTTTCCCTGGTCATGAGAATTAGTCGAATTCTATCAGTCCACTTATATTTTGCTTTAATATAGTTTGAGCGACAAGACATTGCACTCTATGTTTGAATATTAAGTAATTGACGGAATTCGGAAGGAAACTCTAGACTAAGATTCCATGTGATTTGACACTCCTTAAAAAAGCGTAGCCACAATATTCAAGGGACTGTGATTCACTATGATTTTCAGTCAGTACATGAGTCGGAAATATTGACATTGAAACAATCAGACTGTGATTAATCTCTCGCAGGACTGGAATTCCTTCACCGATTGATTACTGAGCAGTATATAGTCATATGTTTATCTAGTTTTTATTGCTGATTATATTGTTTATAATACTCGGGATCAAAGTTAACTTGTATCAGAAGTTAAAGGTTCTACTTAGGTCTAAAACGTGTGCTGTATTTTAAATGCCAATCATAGTTACTTTCCAACAAAATCTTACTGATTTCTGTTAGTAAGTAATAAATAGCATGATGATGTAAAGTTGGTCCCACCAAAATGCTAACGTTAAAGTTTTCCAACCTATTTTAAACTTATACAATAAAATGTCTGCCCGTTTCTCACTCTGATCATTTCACAACCATTCCTGAGTTAAGGTGAATTGTATAACGACTTCACCGATCTAATATTTGTAAATATTGTCAACTTACTTTTAGATGATTTATTCTTATCACTTTTTGCAGAGGTTTTCTTTATTGATGTAGGGGTTGCTAGATCGATAATATCATCATGATCCGCTTCTAGAACATTTAAGTCCTTCACTTTCGCTCGACCTATCGACAGTAAAATGAAAAACACAAAAACTATTATCTTCAACTCAGTGATTGCGCATTTATCTGTGAGTACATAAAAAAGTAACATTAAACATCCATTCTTGATGTTACGAGATGATTTCATTAAAATCATTTACTCATAATTATTCATCCATTGATTTTATATTTTCTTTCATTAGTAAATGTACATCTGACTACCACTCGAACATAATACTTGGTTTGTGCTTTTTTCAAACATTATTTACTCAAACCACTGAAATATCTCAGAAATAAAATGAAACACAAATTCTTACTAGTGCCGTAAGAGAAATAAAATGTCATCCTTATCTTTTGAAGTATACTTTTTTACTTTTTACTTTTTACTTATACAACTGATATGAAACTCTACTGAGAACCCAAAAAATTAAAACTGATTATCGTGAAGTATATGCCCTCCATTTGATCCATTATGCCTTAATCTTGAATATATTAGTGTGTTTATAAGATATGAATGAATATGATTAGTTTAAACTAAGAAATTTAAAATAGTTGACAAAATTGTTAGAAAATGTATCCAAAGGATGTGAACGTAACTAAAATAGACAATGAATTCAGTGTAATTAAACAGAAAACATAAAGAATTTGGTGACTGTCAGGACTCAGTAACTAAGTGGATAAAGTGATGGTGTTCGAGACGAAAGGTACTGGGTTCAAGTCCTAGAGTGAACATTAACTGCGAGATGCAGATACACCTAGCTGATGAATCCCAAATAAGGCAAAACGCTCATCTTATATTCCACTGCTAGCCACCATCCATCTTTGCTTAGGAAATATAATCGCTTCTGATAAATTTATTTATGTTGTGTAAAAAATTTTTAATATGTTATTTCATGACATTGCTTACATTTTTTAAAATAGTTTTAGGTCTATTATTTAAAGGATTAGTAGTTTCCAACCAAAGTTTTACTTACCATCGTGTTATGAACACAGTTAAAATTTAATTCTTGTATTTAATTAAAATCCTATAGATAAGTATATGAAATTAAACCGTTACATTGAGGTAATGCTCATGTTAACTGTAGCTCAATTATACTTTATCTAATTTTCTATATTTATGTTGAAATGGTATTTTTTTACCATGATGGTTGGGCCAAGTGTTGCGTATGCCTGAACACCGATTATCACGACGCACAATGATAACTAGTGTTCGAGACATTTGGAAGAAAGTTAGGGGAAGCCAAATCAAAACGTGGCATCAGTGCTCGAAATCACTAACTTCTGGTCTGAGCCATGTTGATAAATGCAGACAGCTTGGTTGGGGTCCGCGTGACTATCGTAACCAATGGTTGAAGACTCTTGGTGACATGGCTCAGAATCGATCACAATTGCGTAGGTGTATACACTCTTTGTCTTCCCTTAAACTATGAGACTAAAATCGCTTAATATCTTTCTTTCTAGGAACTAATTCTTTCTTCCTGTACTATATCCTTATATGCAATCTTTCTTTTATATATTACCACCACTACTTCTATGAATCCGGTGGTCATTTTGTTGTAATGATGAGGTATGGTTAATTGGACCGATGCACATGTGTGCACGGTCCTACGTTGTAGCTGACTAACTGACTGACTGACTATAATTAATAATTAACTAATAATAACTATCAGATAACAGATTAAATAATGGAACTACTTTCAGAAAATCTGGAAACAATTATTAGTCTTAAATAGAACTTTAATCTAATTACTTTTGCTTAAATCACAAATATTCACAAATTTATGTCAGTGATTCTCTATACCTTTGACTAAATGGTATTTGTAATTTCACTTTATTTAAAAGAATATTGAATGAATTATTATCATTATTATTATCTAAAATAATGTTACCTCGACTTTTAGATTCCTCTGCAACTAATTTTTTTCTTCTTATCTCTTCAGTACGTTCAAATCCTTCTTTCTCTGCAGCATCAGAAATTCTACTAATTAAAGCTATAGTTCCTTCAGCTTCTAAAGAATTCCCGTCAAGAATAAGCTCTCTTCAGAAATTGTTTTCAGAAAAAAAAGATATTCATAGTTTTCAAAGCATAACAAAATAAGTAAACAATAATTCGGATTTATTATTTCATTCATAGTTATTGTGATAAGTTCTTACAAGATATTTCTTATAGTCAGTCAGTCAGTCAGCAACAACGCAGAATTTTGTACATACGTACGCCACTTCACGTCGCCATACCACATTAGCACAGAGATACAACTGTCGATTAAAATCCCATAGTGGTAGAGGTAGCAAAAGTTTAAGCAGTAATCTTAAAGATTAGGGTTTGAAGATGTTATTCACGGAGTAGAATCCAGTGAAATAAACTTGGAAAGAGGAAAATAGAGACATGAAGAATCCAGAAGATTAGAATTCGGGAGAACACAAAGAATGGGCGCACCTGTGTAATTGCGAACGATTTTGAGACATCTTGTTCAAGGTCTCCAATCATCGGTTGCTTTCGTCTCGTTGATCCCAACCACGTAGTCTACACCTACTAACATGGCTCAGTCCACTTGTAAGTGACTTCATGGATTTTTACCATGTTTTAGTCAGGCCGCCTCTAGCTTTCTCCAAACCTACTCCTATATCATAAATTCCCTTTACAGCAAATGGTTCTAAATTAACATCGTCAGTTTTAACATTTCTTTTAAAAGTATTCGATCTGTTCTATATGTCTGGCAAGTCAAAAAAAAGCTGGTCACATTTTAAGTTTTTTTTAGAACTCGTAATATATAATTATACTAAGAAGAATCGTATATTATTCTATGATTACGCAATGCCTGCTGTGACCTTCAATGACATTCATTTCACTGAATTTCTGTTGTTATTGTTTTTCTTAAGTAGATTTACTTCGTAACAGAAAAATGTCAAGTGCAAAGAGTTCTCATGTGTTAGTTTTTTATACGTTATTCAACCTTTTTTTAAATGTCGGTTATGTTTATTTGAATTCTACATCAATCTAGGTTTTAATTCAACTGCAAATGCTATGAAAGTAGAATATTGTAGCGGTAAATAAATCCCCAAAATAAATAGCTCTGTACGTTTTCGACATTGGATGCTGACCATATGTTTTAATGGACTCACCTAGCTGAAGGCGCTCGGTCATGCATCCGCACCAGATCACGTGTGGTAACGCCATGCTCAGAAACCCCTGCAATCGCTAGCCAGACTAGATCAGACAATTCCGATATATTGGCAATCGTCAAATATAACTTCTGATCTCCTCGATTCTGTCTTTTGATTTCTCTTGGTGGGTACGAGTTATATTAGAATGTGTTACTGGTAAAAGCGTTGTCAAACACTGAATACCTGTTCCATCTTCAATATCTTTCGATAAACGTGTTCCTTATCAGTAAAGAATAAGGTATTGAAGCTTATTTTTTGAAAAAAGGATAAAATGCAGATTCATCTACATCGCCAAGAGAGTTTACAAATTGCCTTATATATATATATATTGATGTTTCCAAAATAATTTCATTTTCGACTGTAAAAAACAATTTTTCACACACTTTTTAATGAGTTGATTTTGAGTATGCTTTGCAAATAATAAACGACAATAAATAGTATTTATCATTCATGCTAGCTTACCTTATAGCTGTTTCTGCAATTACATTTCCAAGCCACAAACCACATTGTTTAGTCAGACCACAAAATCTTAGGCTTAAATAAGTAAGATATTGATTTCTAACTAAACCATCACATAATATACAACAACCTTGTTCACCAATTCTGAGAAAATGAAATCAGAAAAAAAAATCAAATATATAGTTAAACTGGTCTCATGATAGACTTATTTATGTATTCATAAAAATGATTATTAGATCAGCTTCTATATTTACCAAGAAAGAAAGTTTCCCAAACATTTTGCATAGAAATCCATTCAATAATTTTATTCGGTAAGATAAAAAGAGGAATACACGTTAGAATTTTGAATTCTAATAAGTTCAGCATTCCATAAAAAAGAGAACCTGTCTTATTGTTAAACAGATGTTATTAATCCTCATTATCTGCTTTTCAGTTTAACTTCCTTATTTTCTATGCTGTTATGAAGTGTGACAACTTGAACCAATACATATTCGTCCCAGATAGTCGCCTACTTATAATTGATTAACTTTTAGTCAAATGCTTTAAATTTAATTGTCCTTTACTAACTAGAAAAAAAATACTACATGCAGCTAAGTCGTGGTGATATCATCTGTTTTCTAATTAATAATACGATCATATTTTACTTTTATCTTCCAAAAATAAAGTTACTACCTTTAGCATATAGTAAGACAGTTTTAGTAGAGAGTTCATGAGTGGTAGGTGCCTCACAAATATACGGATACTATCAATCATTTCTATAATGCTTACGGCTGAAATTCATCAACTTTTGTTAAAACTTTATACAAACAACCAAGATCACCAATTGATATGAGACCATCGATATGGTAATTTTGTCATACAGTTAGACTGAAAAATAAACTAGCCAACATAAATTTGGAAGATTTGTTATCAATACACTTTAATGAGAGAACATTTTTCATAAGCTGAATATCTATAATTCAATGGACAACTGAAGTAGACAACTTGTATGAATATTCGTTAATACTTGAACAAACAATTTGATAGGAGTTTAACACCGAGTATATAAAAGGCATTTAATACAAAAGTTACATTTGAAATAATCTCAGTGATTGAAATCTAAGTACTTTCATCGTTTCGTCCAGCAATGTTATCTGAACCTCTTCGGAGTAATAAACACAGTCATTCACGTTTCATTCTTTAGCCGACAAATACTCGCTAGCATTCAGAACAAAAGTTAAAAACTGGTGAGTAATGGTTGAAGCTTTCAGAAGGTCGATTATAACTTAAATATCTCATTTGTAAAGAATTTGGTTGCAAATATGGAAATTTCAAAATCTAATCTCGTAAAAGATAAGCTTATTTGAGGTTGTTAATACTCTTAACTATAATTGATAATAAAAATAAAATATACGGAAAGCGTTGTTGCCTTTTAGTCTGAATTCAAACACTATGATCGCTACCAACTTTAAACAACCATTTTCAATTTAGGCTAGTGTAATAGTTAAATCAAATTAAATTACATACAACTTTCCCATTTCAAGAACTGACATAAATGTTGTACTGCATACTGAAATTATCATTTATTAACTTATCGGTCCTTCGTCAATAATAACCAAAACCCATAATTTTTTCTTCTCTGAGTTTGACTGAATATGTTGGTGCATTCTGTCTTATTATGAACGGGTTCAGATGGTCAAGTTTGTTGATGCTCATCATTAAGGTGGGACTCGAACGGTTAGAAATGTCCATTTCCTATCATAAGTTGAATATATACGTCTTGTAAACAAGCACCGAAATGCAAAAATATAGGCTGTTATTTTCCATTTAATCACTCAGTAACATTAACATTTTTTATTTAATAATTAAAACAGTGAAAGTAAATTTCAGCTGTTATAAAAATCATTTGTGAAAGATGACAACGGATACAAGAGAAAGATGAACTGAACAGTTTCATTACTAATAGCTATTATCTCTGCGCAACAAGATAGTTTAAGATAATGCTGTCCCATAGAATCAGTAAAGACAAACCGACTTAAGAATGTTAAATACCTATATTGTTATAAGGCGAGCTTAACACGAGGAGCATTTGTCTAACTGGATAAAACCAAAAATCATCTTTATGGAATTGTACCATTTCTCGTTTCAAACATTTTGGAACATTCCTGTTCCTAATATCTACTTGGTTCATCAAACATCATATTACCAGATGATCAATATCATGGTTTCAATGAGAAATGCAATGTAAAGATATCCAACAGACTCAATGTTCAAAAAGTCCTAATCCCTGACCTTGATGCAATTCACCAAGATGTTCAGTTGAGTAGCATGAATAGACTTCGTCGAAAATGTCTAAATTTAGCTTAAAACAAATAATATTTTTTCTCAGGAAAAGTGCTTTCACCTATAAATTTAAATTAAATATAAGATTTGTGGTCAAAATTGAACAATAAATAACAAATACTTCACAAATTTACTCATTAAAATCCAAGGATAATTCACGTAGTATTTTAGAGATAGCAATATTAGCCACTAACAATCGAATGCATTCCGTGTCAAGAAAACAGTCGATTAATTCAATACGTGTAATAAGATAACATTCTTTATTGAACAAACCAGTCTAGAAATGAAAAAAAATAGTTATCAAGAGGTAGAACTTATATACTAGATAAATTTGTCAAAATAGTGAAATCGTAAATTACGTCGTACTTTCAATAATAGACATTATCCTGAATTAGTACTTATCAATCGAAAATGTAGTAATAATAATAGCAATAATAATAATAGGTTACTAGCATGTACTGTTATACTAATCTCGAAATTTGCTTCCATAAACACGAATTATTACATAAGTAAATTATAATCAGAGAGGGATTTTGTGGATGCGAGATCATGGATGCACACTGCTGATGAGTTCCATGCTAGGACGAAAAGACCGTCTAGTGCTTCCAGGTTTTCCATGGTGATCTAGCTTCAACTGACTCATGAATTCAACTATTATAAACAAATTATCCAGCTTTTTTGAGTAATTTAGCAGCAAAATTTAGTAAAGCGTATGGCTTATTGTACAATCCAGTATCGTTGTGTATAGCATTTCCCATCACAGTAATAAGGAGTACTAGTTTTGATCGAGCATCACACCATGAGGATACTTACATCACATCAACTATATTTCACTCAAAATAAGTTTACAGTTTGTGATTTAATGATAACTGTGACGAAGATTACACAGATAACAGTTAAAACAGAAACAATGGCAAACACCTTAATGGACATAGTAATGGTAAAGACTAATTTTTATAAAGCAATATTTTAGTGGACAGATATTTCAAAACTTAAAAATAATATTAACAAACACTTTTTTCTTGAAGATAAATATTATGTTTTCATGAGTGATGCAGCCAAAATAAGTGGACGTGGTGTGAGGATCAAAAAGTGGTAATGACGTTACGGGCCTCTTATTAAAATGAATTATTCTAGTTTCTCGCTTAAAAAAACATTCCAATTGTTTAGAAGGACATCTCAAATTATATTGAATTGGCCTAAATGCTTCAGCTCTGCTCAACACAGATCGTTTATCCTGCTGTCTCCCAGTAAACCTTTTTCATTGAAATCTGAGGACCGCACTATTCATGTTCTACAAATTAGCACGCACTTTCGTAAGTTCAGTCAAATATAAGGCGACGATTAATAGACATCCCACGGTCTTGAATTTGGGAGTCTGTAATCATACATAGCTGAACCTTTTGACTGAGTACCTTGCTTGTTAAATTTAGAAATCCTAGATATAATTTAAAATTTCCTCTAGCTAGCTTTTCACTTAAAACCCATGTTGATTCCCTGAATTGATTTTTATAGCTTTTAGGGAGTTCCTAACACAAACTAAGATAAAATTAAAGACCAATGAATACCAAAGAGAGCTGTAAGCTAAGCTTCTTCTATTTTTCGAACTCTCGAAACTCACCTTTACGGTAAAGCAGGAAAACTAAGGTTATTAAAATCTTCCAATGGGCACAGCATTACTCAATCACTGATTTCATAATCAGTGCCTCAATTCATTGAAACAGTAGTGTCAAGTAATATTTACCCATAATTGAATGTAGATAGCTGAACACAGCTATCAATCAGGCTACTTAACTTCTAGTAGTTTTATTGATAATATAAACCTAGAAAGGACCTTTTTGTCATACGTCTCAACTTTTTAAAGGAGATCTTTGAAAACTAATTGTTGTAGTTCCTGTTTTACGAAATAAGATAAATAAACCATTAAAAATCATAAAGTAGTAAATTTGGAACAATATGGTAGTTCCAAAATACTTAGCCATCTATACTCAATATAACAAATGATGCATGAAGTGTTTTCCTTCTTTAAATATAATTCTAAATGAATAAAAATCGGGAGTCAGAGGGAGTCAGAAGTTTACTGTGATTTCAGTCACCATGGAAATACTCGTAAGTAATCCAAACAAAGTATCAACATTTATTCATTTTCAATTCAGTGTTACTAGTCTATCAGTCTCTCACATGCATCACCATCACGGTCATTCAGAATTAGATTTAAAAACCTTCGACTAAACTTTATACATTTTTCCTAAAATTAACCGGTTGGTTCTAAGAATTAAGTTTGTCTGGTAGATATGAGGTATGTTTATTCCTAAATTTGTTTTATGTTTCACTCAGATTATCAGTGATGAGGTAAAATACAAATTGTAACTTACTAATGCAACCATATCATCATTTTCAATATAACAATCCCATATTAATATTTCTTGTACTGTTGTATACCTTTTTGCTCGTATCGTTTCAATCAGTGGTAAAAGTTTTACCAGTGGTTTATCTTCTTTCAACTGCTTTTTGTTAATGTTCTTTTTTTGTGTGGTTCTTTTTTTATCATCACCGCCAACATTGCTGAAAACATCACGTAGTTTGTCGTCAATCCAATACTCAACAGTTTTACGATCTTGCGGATCAACTAGAAGCTTTGTACAACAACTGATATTTCGATTAACTTACTCTTGTTACAGGATGATCTTCTTCTACAGCTTTTCTAAAACATAATTTGACTGAGTTACACACTGTCGTTTTATAATAATTAGCTCTTTGTTCGTAATCGCTGAGTAACTCTTTCACTAACCTCGCCAATGTTGTTTCATTCTATTAAACGTTTACTTGAAGAAAAATTGAAATAAAATCTCACTTGTGCACTCTTTTTTGGTGGCATATTGGGTGAGCTAGTAAATATAAATCAAGATTTTTATGAATTCTACTCCAAGAATTGCATGTAATAAATATGAATAACTATTTTTTAGCAACATATATATTGATTTTAAGGAACTAAATGACAAACGTTATGAAAACATTATCAAATATTTATACCATTTGCATCACATATGAATTGATTTAAAGTAAAGTTTAGTGATGATTTCACAAAAACAACTCAATTTAGGAACACTAAAACCACATTAGAATACAAACAGCCAGCGAATCAAACATGAAATTAAAGAAAAAACTAATTAACTCTTCAAAGTACTAGATGTCTCCATGAATTTATTACAAGTCACTTTTTCTACCAAGAAGAAATGTTCATATCATATTGCGAATCGCGTTCGCCACGACATTTATATAACTGACGGTTATCGTCGACATGAAAATTGGCTCCTATAAACATGTGACTTATTGGTGGAATACATTACATTTGTCTCATAGAATATGAGCCTGATTTAGATGCTGCCTTAGTTCTACATATCGAATCAGGAATTACTAAAATAGTGCATAAAAATGAGTTATGCATGTTCAGTTATCACTGATATTCATGTTCGTATATGAAAAAAAATATATTCTTCGGACCTATAAATTTCAAACCATAACAACCACGATTTCTAGAAACCGAGCCTTAATTACGTAACGGTACCAAAAATTAAGTTAAAATTACTATTTATGGCTCATATCGATAGTTGATGTTATTATGGATTAGTGCCTTAGCATCACACACTCTCAATATATGCTTTACAGAGATGATCTTAAGATTAGAAGAGATATGCTAGATACAAACGGTTTATTTTTACCTCAAGAAGACACAAATAGGAAATATTGCTTGGTCAATAAAAAGTCTTCTTCATTTCAATGTCAGTAATCCACGATTTTGAGACCACCACCTACTGCCATGTGATTGCAGTTATGGGGTTCAGAACCCTAAGGACTTTAAGATGATTGCTCACCAAGCTGCATCCACATTTTTCGACTTCAGTGTACATAACCTAAGTATGATCCAAATTTTGAAACTGCGTCCAGGCTGAAAGCCAATGTTCAACAAGCGACCCGGATATCTTGAAAACGTACATGGGAAAGCTACTCGTGCAATTAAAGAACTCCAATGTTAGCCATGCATATTGAGACCAGAAAAGTGAGATCTCTTAACTTTGTCTCACCAAATATTAGGAAGTGGTCCAATTTTGATGTATAAATCTCTTGGAATCGGCTTTGAACCCGACATTCGTTCTTTTTCTTCTCAACAGATCAGGAAACCTCAAAGCACATAGCAGGCGGGTTCAGAAATCAGAACCGACAAAAGCACTCGAGGCATACGACTCTTCGCATCTACTCGGAAACTCTTGACCCCTAATATCACAAGAAGCGATGTTGGTGGAACACTAAGCACTCATAGAAGCTTACCACAAAAAGACTTACATAAATCATCAGCTTCTTATACTCAGTGCACAAATCTGAATCCAGTGGTTAATAGTGATGATTCGTTATATTTCAATCACATCAGAGTGAATATTCATTTAAGACAGAACACGGATGATCTCATACGAAACTCTATGCAAATATTTTGTGGCAGGAATCACTATAGTCCTGTTTATAAACAGGACAACTTTTTCAGAAACCATAGAAGCGGCATCTTTCGCAAAAGAATTTTAAAAGAGCTTGAGAAATCCCTAAGTACAATATGCAGTGAAGGAGATCATTATAAGTTCTGCTGCATGACTAATTACATTATTATTAAATGACTTTTTTGTCCTCTCTGTATAGCATAGCAGTACACTTATATCACAACGTTTTGAACAATATCTACGAATAGAAATGTGACAGAACGGGAAATAAGTCTAAATAAGTGCGACAATTTTAACAAGTAATCTTCTGTAACTTATATTATGGCAAAATATAAACATAAACGCTATCAAATTCACATGAAATTCAGGAAATGCTCACCTGAATATACTTAAAAAATTAATAGACTATTTATCAATTTGGCATTTGAACAAATATTCCATAAGATTTAACGAATAAAAAAATGTTAACAACAAAAGTCTACATTCGGTGGTCAACACGTTAAATTGCCGCCAGCGTCGTTGTTAGAGCAACAGGAGATAAAATCCAATATCCAACATCTATGAGACAAACTAATATAAAGCAAATTGATCTTTCAGTACTCTGCTCTTAGCGTCTCAGTACTACCCCTGGCCTTTGTCAGCATCCCATGAGTTTAGTCATGATCCTTGACTACACCTTAATGAATCAGACAGTTATTCGGGGATCAGCAATTGCCACGTTACCTTAACTCAGTCAAATCAGAGGTCAGAGATGAATGATTTCGAAGATATATTAAATGGGTTGTCTTAATATTGAAAAAGTGTTTGGTCTAGGCCAGCCAGTAGTTGCAAGGAGTGAGTGGCACAGCGTACTCTTTTGTGGTCAGTTGTGGATGCATGACCAAGCGCCTTTTGTTAGTGTGCTTCTAGTAAAACTAATTAGGAAAGCACCAGCGACAAAGACTTGCAAAACTAAATGTCCCGAGGTTTTGATCAGCTAGAAGTTCAAACCCAACGAGCTTGTTGTTAGTAAGCACTGTTCTAATAAATTGCTAAGCCCTGCAGAATCTGGCCCTCTCCCATTGATGTAAGGAGACACGTATCACAAATCACCGTTTATGAATATACAGTGAAAAATTCGATTTATCGTATGCTTCGTCGGCTTTAATACTTTCCAGTAATCTTGAAAACAGGAAAAAATGAAAATGTACGTGCATGCCTAAATATTATTATACTTTTTTAAGGATGAAGACGTGGAAAAAATCCTATGAATATGCATATGTATATCATAAGATACTACGAGTAATTTTCACACAAATGTGCTAAAAGATGCCACGAATATTGGGAGTGTGACAGCGCCTTAACCAGTAACACACTTATTATCGAAACATAACGAACCAGTCAAATCAGAAGTCAGGAACGAAGGATTTCAAAGGTATATTTGGAAGGCCATAGGTATGTCGAAGAAAAGTTTGGTAGCACTATGTACCCATTCATAATCCGGTGCGAATGAGTAGCCTTAGCGCCTTCAGGTAGGTGAACCCAGTAAAACTAATGAAATCAACATCAAATGTCAAGGCCTTGCAGGGCTATTGACTTTAAGGATTTATTTACAGCTACTTTATCTGTCACAAAAGAAAGCTCCCCTACCTGTTCCCATCTATTTAGTAAATAGTTTCATGGTTGTCGAAGATAACTCGTGCTAAAGATCAGTGCCTCCTTTTTGAGGCTGTGTGACTTTAGGAAGGTCGAATCCTTGGAAACGGTTCAGATACGTCAAGGAGCCTGTCACTATGTCGTTTGCACTAGAAATGTGTTGTGTAACTGAAGTTCAGTTGTCGAGACTTTGTAAGGGAGTACTTGTCTGAAGATAAACTTACAGAGAAGGTAAGGGGTCTGTGATCGGTGTAAAGATTGAATTCTTGGCCTTCAACAGAGTGCTGAAGTACCGTACAACACAATTCATGTCTAGAGTTCCCTACCGAAAGTGCTAAAACTAATCAAGATCTCAAAACCACTCATGGAACAGAACGCAAACAACTGCGTGATTACACTAAAATCAGTGCCATACTTTAATTCGGAGTCTAACGACCGTCTTGGGAAGAATGCCATAGGTTGCCAGCTCTGGTTAACCCATTGTTGTAAGTCTCCTCCGACTGCTAAGTTGGATGTATCTAATGAGATACTGATGAGTGCTTTTGTGTCCTCCTGTGCGATCAGTGTTGTCTGGCGATAAATTCATTAACTGTAGGGAATGCTTTTCGCAATATCGTACAAATTAATGGATTCCGCATTCCCTTAATGCCATTCGATTAAAGGCCACATAAGAGACGCACATTTCGATATCAACCGTCGATAGAAACTTACCAGACCATTAAACGTGCGTAGTTGCTTGATTGTGGTCGGTTCTGGGTAATCCGGAATGGCCACCATTTTTATTTTTTGAGGTCGAATGCTTTGAAGATTAATTGTATGTCCGAGGAAATCTAAGGAGACGGTGCTGATCCGACATTTCTGAATGTTCACAGAAACACCGTGTTCACGTAGTTGTTCGAAAACAAGGTTTAAATACTCGATATGAGATTCTCTATCCAAACTTGTAGTCAAGTGGTCATCAACATGCAAGTGTGCGAAGTTGAGACTTCGAAAACTGCCGTCAATCAATCCCTTGTAAAGCTTGTGCAACGTTTCTCAAACTGAAAGGCATGCGCGGAATTCGTACAGTCCAAAAAGATTGATGATATTCATCTTAGAAATATCGTCTGCAGCCATGGAAACTTGGTTATACGCTCCAACCAGATTGATTCTCGGAAAAAACAGTTGTATCTTTCAAGGTAGCAGCTAAGTCATGGGTGTGTCATAAAAAGTGACAACCGGAAACTGCTTTCGTATTAACTCGACAACATCCGGCTGTCGGACGCCAATCACTGCTGTCTTTCTTAAGGTAACATATACTAAGTTAGTTGTGGGTGTTTGGTAACTGCATAATCATCAAATCGATCATATGCCGACCGACATGCTTTCAAGAATATAGCTGGGTCTTTCGTCGTGATGTGGTGTGCAACATTCCTAATTACACTCAGTTGCTTCAGCCGTACTTTGTGTTACTTCGTGATACTTTACGAGTGTCCGTTGGACGTTTAGGTCGATTATATACGTGACTAAGACTGAGCATAACTTACGACCAAAACGTAAAGTTCTATAAACACATAGTTTAGTTTTTTACACTAACATTCATTTGCCCTCTAAGTTCTGGTGATCTCTAGGATCCGATCGAAGTATGTATTTCGCTCGCCAACAACGTAATTATGAACCGAAATGAAAACTACTTGCACATTTTTGGGTAGCCTAAGTCGTCGAAAGAGGCCTTCGTTAAAAGTGCGTTGGACAGTTACCTCCCTCATACGTTGCAACACTTCTATTGCTCGGCCGTGTCTTATTTTTTTGTGTTGTAAAAGAGTTGATTTAACCCTTATCAATCGGATAGCCCTTCTACGTTAAAATATCGTAGGGCTCTGAAACACCATTAGTAAGTATACTAGATATAACCTGTCTTTTAAAAGGACTCAGCAGTGAAGGAATTGCTGCAAGGAATTGTGCGCGCGGTTTTATCACGCCGTGCCCGCGGACGTCAGCTCCTGAATAGCAGAACCTGGCCTCCATATTACTAGGCAAAAATGTAATGAGCTGAAGCATGTGGGGTGTAGGATTCGAAACCTATACCATCATATAGATGGTGATAAAAGGAAGACGAAGTAGGTAGGTGTGATGACTAGGAGTATCTGAATTATTATAAAAACTAGGAATCCGAAAAATAACTCAGTTCAACCAAGAAGAACTAGATGAACATAGACGAATGTATCATATTGGGAATTTGAAATCAGGCAATCATCAAGTACAATGGAATCATTAGTTCATGCGAACATCAAGGTAGGAGAGATAATGGAGAAAACAATGACAAACAACAACAATAATAGATTTTTATTATCATTATTCGCAAACACTTTATGGCTACATAAGTGTTGTGAGGAAATCATTTCGGGTTTATTCAGAAATGCAAAAATACACAAGTTTCACGAACATCAGCACAATGTTTGCCATATTTGATAAAACAGGTTCTGTGTAGTTGAAAGGAATATTAAGTTGACTTCAAAAAAGGGTAGGGAGAAAAAAAGAGAATAGAAATGAAAGAAACGCGAAATATTTAAGTGGTTTATTAGGCGTGTATATAAACACAGGACAAGAATAAGCGACTATGTAATCCACGTGAAACTCATTAGGCAGGACAAATATCTGGGAAGGGGTCATAAGTATGAGTAGACTATAATGTATGATGATATTCAGTGAGATACTAGGAATACACTAATCCCATCATGGGCAAACCTCTCGGTGCTCAATATTCTAGAAATTATCAGGCAAAATCTTACATGGGATAACCGTCATGTTAATTTTTTACTCCAAAGAAAGGTTTAGGTTTTACACTGTAATCCCTGTCCCTCTATATGAGCTTCCAGTATAAATTTCATCCAGTTTAATTAATAAAAGAAACATAATTCTCAGTCATGCTCGTTTCTGTCTTTTCACAGTGACATCTCAAAAATCAATGTCTAATAGATCCATTTTCAAGTTTATTCAAGCAGCAAATTAAAATCTACTAATGAAGTTATATGTATTTCATATGTTTCGCTGCTTTAAACATCGCTGGCGGAAACATTCCAATAAAACGCATTTGCCTAATTTTAACAAAAAGCAGCTACACTTCTATAGATAATGGGTTGTATTAATAAGGACAACGTTGGATAAACATTTCAACTTAGATCTAGTACATTTTATATTCATCCACTAGCGGTATTCGTATGACATATTTCGTCATTTGGAGGTGCCGGGATCTACGGGGTGATACTCAGATTTAAACACGAACCCAGTATACATCAACTAACTAGTTTGTATAGTTTATTGCACAACGACTGAATGACTTTCATTACGTAAACTTCCAAACTTAAAAAGATATCCTTGCGATTTTATCTGAAACATCTTTCAATCTTTTCTATACACTTGATCCAATAATGAATGGTTATTTGGCTTCATAACCCTTCAAATCATGAAATTAGATTTTCAATAACTGAATTCTAGCTAGTATAATCAGGGATGTATGTATATTCAAGGAAGTAGCTGAAAAACTCACTTATAAAAGGTCACACAACCGTATTATCGACCAGTCAATAGCTTATTAATTCAACGCAAAAGAATTATCTGCTGAAGAACACTGAATAATACATATGTTCGATATCATATATGATCCGCTTCTGGAAAGTTGGTAGATAGCGCACTGTTTATGGAAGAGATATCGTCAGGTATTCCTGCTAAAGGACTGTCCTGAAAATATACTAAGAATCTGCTAATCAGCTCGGACATTTCACAGTACAGTAATCAAGATGACATTGACACTACCGTCATGAAGGCATTAAATCTCAATATCTCGTTTAAAGATACACCCTCCTCATTACACCTGTAGGTCCCATCAATATCTAAAACATATGGAATTCAAAAAGCTATTTTTTATATACAGTTGAAAAAAGTAGCATTTCAAACAACCGTTAACTTTAGGATGCATCTCATCTGCACCTTCAAGCTCAATGATATATGCAATTAAGCTCTTAGGATCACTACTTAGTAGAAATAATGGTCTAAGTTAAACTGACCTCTAGTTTTTCATTCTTCAAACAAATGTCGTTACATATCAAAAACATCTTTGACGATTGGTTTTCCTTGATTTTCATCAACAAAATCTACAAAAGCAAAAGTTGCAGCTCCGGACACAAATAAATGAATCGTGTTTTTTCGGCCGGCTGCCGAGTGACGGAAGCTAGGATCTTTCTCATAGCTGATGCCCAGTAACTCGCGTTTGACCGGTTAACCATTTAGATATTGTACAAAACCCTTATATAACCACAACAAATAATATACGATTCACAACCACTACAAACAAGTCATAGAGATCAAAAGCTGAAGAATTTACTCCAAAACAAACCATCGTATCCCTTGAGAACTTGTTGGTCGCTGAGGGTGACCCCTTCTTTATGAATACATATATTATATAGAATTCATTTGGATCTCAATGACTGTCTCGTATCGTGAAACGGGAAAAAGTAACATTTTCATCATCTTTCTGTTGTCGCAGGAGATCCGGTTTAGTCGAGAACCCTATGTTAGATCCAAATATTGAACTGGTTCAATGTCTGTCCCAGTAGTGAAACTCTAGTCACACACTTCCAATTTTGATAATTCAAAAAAATGGCCATAACTTTTTAATAACGTAACACACGTTCAAAATAGATCAGAAGACACCCAAAAGAGGTACTTAATGGTACTCTATCTAACTGGTACAGACACCTGATAAAACCTGATTGTCACAACTGGAAAAAAATACTCCCATCATTAAAAAAGCATCCTATCCAAGGAAGAGATGTATATCAACGAAGTTTGATCCAAGTATGAGAAATCAAAAGTAAGCAGTAGAAAATGTCGCTAAAACTAACAAGAGATTGTGTTTCGAAATCAACCTCATGAAACAGAAACGATCTGTCCACGAAGTATCATCAAAAATATGATAGTCCAATTCGGCTAGCGTCATAAAAAACAATGTTACGTAAAATAAAGATAAAACGGTTAATAAAAGACCCACTAACGTCAAGGAAATAGTCAGGATTCAGAATTTGTAGACAATATAGTATTAATAACCGCAGTCAAACTCACAAATGGGAATCAATATAGAAAATTTAGACAAAAATAAAATAAACAGTACATACTACAGAAATATAGAGTCATAAGTAAAAACAGACCTGGAGGGATTTTCACCATATATTCAGATGAACATATAAAAAATTAATTTTACGTTGTACACTAACATACATCTTTCTAAAAATCATATCAGCTTCACCTGGCTGTCAACAACGCCGACTAGAACTGAGTTTGCCGAACCAAATTCTTTACTTTTATAGGTCCAATAACAGGTATTTCATTGGCCAGTTGAAATGATGATTTTGATTGTGAAGAGAAGGGCACAGCTGAGTGAAGAGGAGTATGAAGTTTTAAAATAAGTTTTGTGCACTTTTTCTGCTCAGAACATGTTGCTCTTCTCTTACCAACCTAGGCTATGATTACAAAATGATTTAACTAGATTACATGAAATCGATTTCTTAATATCTCACTCATTTTGAATATCACCCTACTACCAACAAAATGATATACTCTCAAAACATTTTGGCACTTGTACGAACTATTTTGTAGTACTTATTGATTATCTCTAAGACTCACTGTTATAAAAGAACTAGAAAATTATATGAATCAGTACCAGGAAAATATCAAAAACTAAAAAGATATACTTATTATATACCGAAAAATGGGTCAAAACTTTATCCGACAGTAGTGATTTTTATTTTATTACACTGATAAACATCCATATTTGAATAAATTTAAGTGGACAGTACTAGATATGAATAGGTAAAAATGTGGAAACAAAGTTTCCAATATCCTAATATAAAACTAATGTAAACAAAAAATGTATTTGTTTAATTGTTCCTTTTTAATATTTACAAAAATCGTTTTTAGAAAAACCTCATCTAAAAGGTAGGCCAGTCCAGAGAAATGGTATTCGTTAGCAAATTATGCCTAAATATATTTTAACAACAACACTCACTATTCCAATCCATAAAGAACTGGTTATCTATTTTCCATACTCCATCTACACGTTAATTTACTTGTTAGAAATACTTGAATGCCTTTTATTTTAAATCAGTGAAAGATAAACAAAAATTGCTAATACGATCACATTAGAAATAAATAGAAACTTTATGATTATCGATTTTCCCTCGTTCATCAACTATTATAAGGGTTTAACAAATACTTCATGGTCTAACATTTGACCAAGATCAAATATCGTAATTTAAGCAAATAAAATTATTTCTAAAGTAATTTCATATCACTGGACTTATTGCTATCCTTTTTACAAATCATTTGATGTGGATACACTAAGAACATAAGCATTCTAAAACCAAGAATCATCTTTAAAATTAAGAACGTTTGAATAAACTAGATTTTATTCACTTCAGAATTTTGTCGAATGTAGTCATTGAAACTTTGAGTACCTTCCAGTTCAACGTCACATGTAATTTTATTACCATACATTTCAATGATCCTATTTCAATTATAAACTATATACCTATTGTTATGGTAGTTAGGTTAGATAATACCATTTTAAACAAAGCAATTGATATTTTTAGGATAACTTTTTTATGGATAGCAAGACTTTTATCATTCCCTATAGTAACTAAATAAATGTCTTGTCTGACTTTCAGTTATTTTACTTTGTTTTATTTCACTATTTCGGTTGCAAATAATTTGATGTTTTACATTTATAACATGGCTAACAACAAACATCGATTTGTTAATGTAATGGAATACTTTGGCATAAAGCAATTCCATACTAACTTTAGGCCTTTGTCAATTTCGGCAATTATCTAATTGGTATTTTCCATACATTGAAATTATGATTAAAATCTATAAAAATATATCCACTTAACTTTTAATGTAAAGATATTTTCAATGTACAGTTGTTCTTAAGATGTTTTTTGAGTGTATTACATTTATTTATGATAAAATATTATCCATACAATTTTTCGACTGAACCAGTTAGAAGTAAATGTCAAAATCGTTTATTCATATTTTCTTACCCCTAGAATTGTTTTGTATCTTCATAAATAAAAATGAAGTGAATGAATCCATGTCCAGATGTGACTTTCTGCGATTAGTCTAAATATTGTACATGCTTTCATACAAACGTACTTGTATGCACACAATTGTACACATATATGCATTCTGTATATTACACACATATTAGACACATACGTGAATGTAAATACAAAGATACAGAAAATATATATCTACATTCTTGACTATAATCTTTCATCTGATTAAAGATCTTCATACTGAAAGGATATAAACTTATATTGTAACAGAATTACAACTGAATCATGCATAATATTTAAACAAATTAAAGATTAAATGAATATCTAAATACATGATATTCTGTAGTTAATTATAATCATAATCTTTACCTTCCAAGTTCTTGATAAACATGACGAAACAAAAACATTTTATTACATTTTATTCAACTATTTTCTGCTGGATATTGGGGTCGGGTTATTTATGTGACTGGTGGTAAAGGATGTTGAATGTTGAATTATTTTATGTCAATGCGAGAATTAATGTTTTTGTGATATATTATGGGTACTTCTATGCACTCCCTCTTCTTCCTCTTTGTAAGTAACTTTTTTTAAAAGTTAGTGAATTGTTATTGTGATTGGAACTTGCCCCTACCCCCCCCCCCACTCCCCCTTTTTTTCACAGCCTATATAAATCACCTGTTTTGAACTTGAATATACAATTATACCAACTGTAAAGTCTCTTCGTTTAGAGAATAAATATTTATTCCTCTGAAGAAGTAATCTTTACATTGAGTCACGAAACGTTAGACAGACTCTAGATGTTTCTTCTCAGCATGGGGATACGCTACAAATATATATGAATTTAATTTACTTATAATCAAAATCTACTCAATGCTCAATTTATTCGAAATTATCATAGTCAATCCTTGTTATTAACACCTGAAACGTCTTCTGTTAGTTTATGAATCGCTCGGCCCTCGCACGTTCATTAAAGCTTATACGTTGTTTAATTAGTGAACAGCATGTATTTGAAAGAATGTCATCAGTATCCAAGTAGCTTCTTGGTAAAATAGTCGTGTTTATATTATAGTATATTAATATTATTGCCAGTGTTTTTGGTTGAATGGTAAATTCCATTCATTCTTAATAAAGACTTTCACAGGTATCATTAATACTGAAATTTAAAATGTGATTTACCGCTGAGAAACTAGA